CTCAGCATTGTATTTCAGTCAATCTGCCTGTTCTGCTCCCCATGCTGTCTCTGATGTGTCCTCTTATCCCCAGCATCTCCACCCAGTACCCCAGTTCTCATATGCATAAATAAATCGATCTTTTCAAAAATACGAAGCCACCTCTGTACCTGCTACAGGGCGTGAGCGAAGGAGGCGCTTGAAGCCCTGCTCTGTGTATAGCTGGAAACATCTAGCCTATGGGGGGCTGTGATTGGAACTCCCCATGGACAGCACCCCCAAACCTGTAGAACAACTCTGAGCCCAACGCCCTGCACAGGGCTAAGAAAACAGGGGAGGGAGGTCGATGTGTAGCTAGAGGCAAGGAGGGGCCCATCAGCTGGGTCCGACCATACATACGTCATAAGCGCAGACGCCCTTGGCCCCGACACAGATCATTTCTTTTGGGATGTCTCTGCCCCAGTGCTTCCTGCACTTGTCATAGGTCTTCAGGTACACGGTGGCCTGCTGCAGCCTGTTAGGGATAATGGTACCTGGAGACACAGAAGAGCCAATGAGCTCAGGTCTCATCCTCCGGGCCACCGAAGCCAAAAACAGGGCCCCAAGCAGCCATCCCTAGGCCCCCCTCTACCTATACCAGAAACTGGGTGCAGAACAGAAGCCTACACCTCGTACCCTAGTACCCTAGAAGGGACTTGCTCCTTGACTCGACCCCAGGCCGGCTGACTCTGCCCCGAGCTCAGGCGATGCCACAGTCCTGCCCGACCAGCCTGGTGTGGGTGCTCAGGGGCAGCCCCCTCTCCCCAGGGAAGGGCACTGACACCCTTCTGACTGCAGACTCCTCTCTTCCCCACAGCCCTTTCCTGGGGGCTGCTACCCTGGGAAGGACCAGCCGGGGAGCCCTGGCTTGAGCAGAGGACTCAGGACATGGAGGAGACCATCGGGCACGGCCGCCCCGGCAGGGACACCTGGCCGGACTCTCGGGGCCCAGAACCTGCATGGGTGCGCGATGCCCACGCAGGTCTGGAAGGTGACTGCCCCTGCCCGCACAGGCCTGGGGCAAGTCCAGCCGGCCGCGGTCCAGGCCTGACGCAGGCGGGTGGGTGGGGCAGGCGTGCTGCCGTGCAGCTCTGTGCAGAAACTGACCGGCCGAGGGCATCATGGCGTGGTAGCCATGCATCACGCAGGTCTGCATACCATGGGCAGATATCAATTTGAAAGCACTGACGAGAACTTCAATTTTACTAGACATAAACCAGAGATGTGCAGGTCCCCCACAATCTCAGCACCCCACCCCAGATCCGTCCCGACACAGTCACTCACCATTAACATCGGTGCGTCCCCAGCCCATTATTCGGCACCGGGACTTGATGTGGAACCTGTCATCAACACTAGGCAGGAGAACTGGGGACACTGACTGGTGGAAGTCAGCCCGGGTCGCGAGCTTCAGCAGAGCGAGGTC